TCTGGCTAGCTGTAGCAGTTTAGTCCCTACAGATTACAATGAATAACAAAATAAGGAGTTTTAGGCCCTCGGTTGTAAAAATGGCAAAGATAGAGACATAAAAATCTATTATTATAACTATTTAATCTTCTAAAATCTGATATTTTATTTTGTCTTTTGCAGGTTCTTTTTGACCAGTTCAGCGTCTTCCTCAACTTAATCTTCTTGATCATGGCAATCAGCCAGTTCATTGAAGCCCTGCGTGTAGGAAGCCTATATACCTACTGGGCACCTTTGACTTTCGTCATAGTTGTCACTATGATACGTGAGGCTGTTGATGATATTCGCCGTTGGCGTCGCGATCGTGAAGTTAACCGGGCTGCCTATAATAAATTGGTACGGGGTGGACAAATGCGCATCACCGCGGCCGAAATGAAGGTTAGTGGATGGACAATATTTAGTATGAGTAGAAGCGAATTTTTATGTTTACAGCCCATAAAAAATGATTGGATTGCTCAACATTGTCCGTGTAACTTCAATTTATGTTTTAATACTTTTTTTCATTGCCTCAGATCCTCACATATTTAAACCAGTTACGAGGAAAAACAGTAGATATACGAATTCCCTTATTATCATGAAGTCGATTTTTTATTACTTGCGAATTTACCTATACTTATTTAAGAAATCGATTTTTCGTAATTCATTAATAGTACACTTCTTTAATGAAAAGGGCAAATTTCATTCATATTCAGTTTCTCGCTAGAATATCAGACTATTCCCTTAATTCATCCTATCGTTCATTATCCTTGTTTTACATTGCAAGCGTTTTCTACGCCATTTGACTACGTGTATGACGCCAGTTCACCCGTATGTGTTTGTGTTTTTTATACACATATATGCTTAGAAGTTCTGCATCGTGATTGTGTACAAATTAAATATCTCATTATAAGGTTATTATATTATATATTACTTTATAGTTACTAGGATAACACTCATAAGATCAACACCACTTATTATGTAGATGTGAAAACCAAGATGTGGCCTCTATTTTGGTCGCAGTATCCTTTCGACATATAGAAATGGGCAGACCTCGTTTTCGCAACTTGGTTGTGTTGTCAGAGCGACCTAGATGCACCTTGTCCGAAATCCTCTGCTATAGCAGGTATCATAATTCCCAGCGTCGGACCATGGACTTATTACATTCCTAGGCGCCTTGCCGTCATCGTCAGTGAGTCTTGTCATTCTCAGAACCAAGCTACAATTCGCTAAATAAACTAGTGAATTCAATCCCTTGATCGACTTGCGCTATCACTCATCTTTCTATGTAAAGGGCGAGAGTGAAATTTGCTTTTAAATTTGTTAAGGAGCATTTTAGGACAACTATCGTCTATATGCTTTTCTAAGTTTGAGTTTACATGTGCTCAATAGCTTTTGTAATACATTTTTTATTTCTATTTGTTTATACTTGTTGAATTCACTTACATTTCGAGTGAAAGTGTGTGTGTCCTTCATCCACACAGAAGACGATGGCGAATTTCTCATGACCAGCTATCGAATGGCTTTGCTGGCACATTTACGGAGATTTCCTCGGAAATAGCAAAGCCATTGAATAGCTTATCAAGAGGAATTCGCTGTTATCTTTTGTTGGGATAAATCTTCTAATCTCTTTACTAAACACTTGTTTGAAATGGAAACGAGATCAACAATTATAAACCAAGATATTCCCAACTTCTATTCACATTTATTTGCTTATTTACTTTTTTATTTTGCTTATCATATGGTAGCTATAATTCTTATTGCGCATCGTATTATTGCGTAGCCATGCCTTGCCATTTTAGGTATTTCCGATTTTGTTTGTTTGATTTACTTGGTATATTTTCATATCTTACCTCAATCATTTATTTTTCCTTAAATTTTACCCATTTTTATGACCTATTTCTCATAAAATATCATTGGTAGGCTATATCATTGTCTGGCAACTCCAAACTCATATAGATGCATAAACTTGATGCTTATTTTAGTGCCTTTCCCAAATTATCAATTAAGTTGCTGATTTATTTTGAAGTATGGAATATAGATGTAGTGACTTGTCCGTACTCTTTTATCACTATAACTGTTAATTTCGTTACATTAGTTACGCAGTTATCTCCCAACACTCATTTCACACAGACTACTTGTGAATATCATGTCTTGTTTGCATCGACCAATCAAATCTCGGTATTATATCGAGCCTACGTTTGGACCCGTTAGATATGGACCTTTTAGAACCAATCAGATACTGAACTTCAGATTACGTAAGTGTTTTAGGCTTAAAGAACTCCGGCTTTCTTCAGGGCCCTGCATCCGTTCTAGCAATCAGCTCTCGCTGTCACGTGCTGATAATTTGTTTCGCCATTGAGTGCCAATTTTATCACAACTACGATCTGGGGACTCTGCCTTTGACAGCATCTTATCATCAACCTAGCCGCTATTCTCTACCTGCATTTTCCAAGGCGTCCCACACTCTTACGCCTCTTCTGCCTTCTGCATCTGCGATGGTCTCACTTTTTCATTATTTCATTTTTCGAGAGATGGCAGGATGACAACATTTCGAACTTGGTAGAGTGGTCTAGCCCCCTCTCTTGCCCTAAATATATGTTTCCGTCTATCCCGTTTTAGAGTAATTTTTAATTAATCGTAGCGGATAATTCCTCTTTTCCCAAATTCTCCTTAATCGCTTAGATGCCTAGTCCCAATTATTAATATCTGCCAGACGCAAGAAGATTTCATAAGTCATATTTCAACGGACGCAGAATTCTGGGACGAAGAGCTGAAGAAATTGACTAGGATCTTCCTTGGTAATGGCTACCCAA